AAGAATTCAGGATGTTGTGGCGGCTGCCATGGTCCAAATCCTGTAACCTTAGGAGAAAGTTGAGAAGCAGTAGCTTTAAAATAGGTCTGGTCCACTCCTGCATGAAAAACTCACAGGGGCCTTTTGGGCCACAGATAAAATCTGACCCTGGGGCTCCCTAAGAGTCGATTCATCAAGAGGATTGTTTAACATTCCGTTTCCTGTAAAATTCTCATTCCTTCTACCTCGTTCACTGGAGGTTCTTCCTCCAAAACAATAAAACAGATGCAGCCCCTTCTCCCCAACTACAAACATACAACAGAGGTGATTTGTAGTTCGGGAGTAACGCAGCATCTATTATTTTTTTTTATTTGAGGTGTGAGAAAACATTGCAGTGCTCGCAGCAACTCTGGTAAGGTCCACTATTGGTTTGGGCAGCAAATGAGACATCTGTTTGTTTTGTCCTCCTCCAAAAAGCTTCTGCTTGCGACCATAACAGTCCAAGCTAGAAAATGTTCCAGAAAGCTGGTGTTTATAAACGCAGTAAAGGCAGAGGAGAACTCTTCCCTCAACACAAAGGAACTGGAGGAAGGTACCCTGGAAATATCAGAAAGACCATATAAGTGGAAAAAGAGCCACATTGAAATAACTCCCAGGAAATACAATGCAGGGGGGCTGCAACCATTTCCTCTGTCCAAAAAAGAAAATTGTGACCCCTCACCCCCTAATTTCCCTGCTCTCTGCTGTCACTGAGACATGGCCTGCCAACAGTAACAATAGAAGCCTTTCTGGGAATCAGTGGTCTAAGGCAGCTGAGTGAGCGAATAACAGAATGATGAAGTATTCCTACCCTTTTTGGGTCCATATAGATATATTTAGATTTTTACTTGAATTATTATGAACATTTTAGGATTAAATACCATATTATTATGAATATAACCATATACATGTTATTAGCATACAATAATCGGGCCGTTTTCCTGTTATCATTATTTTAATGAAGTGTCTCTTCTCAATTCCCGTCATCGTTTTTAAGATATTTTATATTTTTATTTTTAACATTCAATATTAAATATTCATTATGGATTTAGTACCATATTCTTTTAATCATGTGTTTTTATTATGTAATCATGTGTTTTTATTATGTAATCGTGAGATTTTGGATTATTATTGAAGTTTTTTGACCATATGTTTTCGTATATATCTATATACATTAACTGCTAATTTTAATTTTTATACATATATTGTATTTATGCATTTCTGTCTGACCATTTTAGTGCTATTTACATTTGTATATTTATAGAGAATATTTATGTGGATTTAATCCCTGACCTGATTTGATTTCAGCAAAATAGAATGGAGTTTATGTAATATTATATAGTTTTTTATATATATATATATATATATATATATATATATATATATATATATATATATATATATATATATATATATATATAATCCTGAATCTGAACCCAGGAGTGTGAATAATCCCTCTTCTTAGTTTGCACAGGGATGCCTTTGTTTTTGGCTGTATAAACCCTGAGCAGTTAATACTGCTCCTTTATCCCTTTACACTGCCAACAAAATGGCGCCGCACTGTAGGAGACTTCCTGCTGTAGATCGCATCCGCGATCCACGACAAAATGGCATGGATCGCTCGCGCATGCGCAGTAGCGTGGGAAGACGACGCCAGCGTTCTGCGCATGCGCGGATAGCCGAGAAAATGGCGGCCGTATTAGGAAAATTTGCCATTCACATTTATAAATAGCACTGATGAGGATGTCCTGGTCAGCCCTGGACCCTATGAATACGTGCATCGCACGAAACGCGTCAGGCGGGCAGCAGCAGCAGGACACCTAACCAATAGGAATGCATATGGTCAGTAAACTTTTTGATTTATCTTTGTATGTACCCCACACCAACCAACCCTGAATAAAAAGCATCTAAAGCAGTATCACGCTATGAGGTCTCTTATTGGGCACTCTGTGTGAGTGCTATCATTCGCAGTGCCCACCTGGAGGACTCAGGACCCTGGTGGTGATACCTGGTAGCGGTTTCAGATGACTTCACTTCTGTGGAACTGAGATGGTGACCTGGGTACAATCTGATCTGGGATCTGATGATTGTTTTATGGCCTGGTGACGCAGGATTACATATTGCGTATATTATACGCACATCTGGTGAGTGCGTTTTTCACCTATTTGTGTGATCACACCTATCATCACACCTTGGATCAGGACGTCCACTCACCTTTAATTGGGATCTCTGCATGATCCGCACTATTACACTGAACTTTTGTATTTATTGATCACCATAGAGTGATATCATGCATGTTTATATATTGTGTGTATAAACTGTGCTCTAGTATTTAGCGCTGCACCAGTTATTTAATATATATGTTTGATTTGGAGGTTTTACTTGGTTACCTTTACGGTGTATCAGCTGCTCACTAACGTTTTTGTGTATATATATATTGATACACTTTTTGCATTTAAGTTGCGCTCACTATAACATCTTTTATTACAATGAGTGAGCGGATTACCCCAACCTCATTTTCTGCCAGTGCCCCCGCCACCCCACATGGCAACTGTTGTATGGGCACAGTTAAAAAAAATATTTGCTGTATAGCCCCTCTGCATTTGGTGCCAGGAAACAAATATACAGCCAAAAAGTTATAAAAAAAAAAAAGTAAAAAATTGCAAAATTAAAAAACAGCCCACAATACTTTTCCAACCCACTGGGGGAAGGGGGGTTGGGTCACAAGTGCACATTGAGAGAAGGGGTACCAAGCAGGGACTACCACCAAGGCACTCATCATTCCAAGCCGCATGACCCTTAAGGGTCATAACAGTGGGCCACACCACAAGGGCCTTCAGGGTCTCGACTCCCCTGCTAGGGATCACTACCCTGGGCCTGTTTACCATCCTGTCGTCTCCACAAGACAATATACAGTCAGGTCCATAAATATTGGGACATCGACACAATTCTAACATTTTTGGCTCTATACACAACCAATATGGATTTGAAATGAAACGAACAAGATGTGCTTTACCTGCAGACTGTCAGCTTTAATTTGAGGGTATTTACATCCAAATCAGGTGAACGGTGTAGGAATTACAACAGTTTGCATATGTGCCTCCCACTTGTTAAAGGACCAAAAGTAATGGGACTATTGGCTTCTCAGCTGTTCCATGGCCAGGTGTGTGTTATTCCCTCATTATCCCAATTACAATGAGCAGATAAAAGGTCCAGAGTTCATTTCAAGTGTGCTATTTGCATTTTGGAATCTGTTGCTGTCAACTCTCAAGATGAGATCCAAAGAGCTGTCACTATCAGTGAAGCAAGCCATCATTAGGCTGAAAAAACCAAACAAACCCGTCAGAGAAAGCAAAAACATTAGGCGTGGCCAAAACAACTGTTTGGAACATTCTTAAAAAGGAACGCACCGGTGAGCTCAGCAACACCAAAAGACCCGGAAGACCACGGAAAAAACAACTGTGGTGGATGACCGAAGAATTCTTTCCCTGGTGAAGAAAACACCCTTCACAACAGTTGGCCAGATCAAAAACACTCTCCAGGAGGTAGGTGTATGTGTGTCAAAGTCAACAATCAAGAGAAGACTTCACCAGAGTGAATACAGAGGGTTCACCACAAGATGTAAACCATTGGTGAGCCGCAAAAACAGGAAGGCCAGATTAGAGTTTGCCAAACGACATGTAAAAAAGCCTTCACAGTTCTGGAACAACATCCTATGGACAGATGAGACCAAGATCAACTTGTACCAGAGTGATGGGAAGAGAAGAGTATGGAGGAGGAAAAGAACTGCTCATGATCCTAAGCATACCACCTCATCAGTGAAGCATGGTGGTGGTAGTGTCATGGCGTGGGCATGTATGACTGCCAATGGAACTGGTTCTCTTGTATTTATTGATGATGTGACTGCTGACAAAAGCAGCAGGATGAATTCTGAAGTGTTTCGGGCAATATTATCTGCTCATATTCAGCCAAATGCTTCACAACTCATTGGACGCCGCTTCACAGTGCAGATGGACAATGACCCAAAGCATACTGCAAAAGCAACCAAAAGAGTTTTTTAAGGAAAGAAGCGGAATGTTATGCAATGGCCAAGTCAATCACCTGATCTGAATCCGATTGAGCATGCATTTCACTTGCTGAAGACAAAACTGAAGGGAAAATGCCCCAAGAACAAGCAGGAACTGAAGACAGTTGCAGTAGAGGCCTGGCAGAGCATCACCAGGGATGAAACCCAGCATCTGGTGATGTCTATGCGTTCCAGACTTCAGGATGTAATTGACTGCAAAGGATTTGCAACCAAGTATTAAAAAGTGAAAGTTTGATTTATGATTATTATTCTGTCCCATTACTTTTGGTCCCTTAACAAGTGGGAGGCACATATGCAAACTGTTGTAATTCCTACACCGTTCACCTGATTTGGATGTAAATACCCTCAAATTAAAGCTGACAGTCTGCAGTTAAAGCACATCTTGTTCATTTCATTTCAAATCCGTTGTGGTGGTATATAGAGCCAAAAATGTTAGAATTGTGTCGATGTCCCAATATTTATGGACCTAACTGTAGCATTGCATATGGTCACGTCATACATAGTCCAGTGCCAACCATCGACATTACAGGCCAACTCTGCATGTACAGTGCAGGGTCCTGGCAGCATTTCTCTGAGCGTAGTAAACCATAAGTAATTGAAAAGGAAGAGCAAGTCTCCGAATCCCACATGGAACCTTTGAGAAGCTAGCTATTTTCATGCAGAGACTGCACAGGCATGACCATCACTATAATAAACTAGCAAATAAACTGAAGCCTTGCCAGGTTTGGAGGGGTTATGCCTAGGAAGGGATTTCTGTCTTTTTCTGAGTGTCCACTTACCTGAAAGTGGCAGCATAACCCTACCTAAATGGATATGAAGGTATCCAATGTCCTGGGATGTAAAAGAAAAGCAAACAAATAAAAACAAACCACAAAAACAGTCCTTTACAAATTACCTTATCTATTAGATCCCGATTGACACAATTAGGCAACTGCTGTATAAACGCATCCACTATGAGCTTTAAATGAGAACCAGTGCTTGCTTCTTCATCTTCTTGCTCTGTTGAAGCAAAAATAAAAAAAAAAATTATAAAAGAGTAAACAGTAATAAAACGTTTGAGCCCACAATTTGAAACCTCTAACTCACTCCACCATGGGGAGCATTAACCTAGATTTCATTGTTGAACTGGGGGCCTGCAGCAGTACAGTGAACCTGCCAGTCTTAAGCAGCCTATAAACTTGCAGAATTTTGTAAAAAAATTTTTGATTGAAGCACGTTTGATTTTCTAATCATTACTGGGGTCAAATGAACAATTTGTTTTCAACCACAGTGATAAGAAAATTCAAGGAGCAGGCTAGAAAATGTCTCTGGAACAAACAAATTTCTAACAGGCTGGAATATTTGTACTACCGTTTGTTCAAAAATCTACTAGTGTATAGCTAGCTTTACATGAACGGTTCAGGAACTAGTCTGAAGATCAAATTATAGGGATCACATGGGTTTAACTGCAATACAAACTGTCACCTCAGCCAACGTTAGCTTACACAAAGTTTCCTGTTCACACTCCCCAAAGGCTGAATGGTGCAGTTTGGGGAGTTAAAGGTATGTATAAGCAGCTAGTTGTGCTGCCATTAAGCTGAACCTGTTCTGCCCAGATGTCCCCTGCCGGACTTCACACAGACACAAGCTAACCTGTGTCTGTGTGGAATAGTAGGTGTGTCAGATTTTGTTTTTACTGTTAAAAACGAAAGTCTGACACACATTACTCCACATTGCTTGGTTCAGTTATCGTCATTTATTTTTTGGCTGCTTTAAAACATTCTTACCTTGTTCATCAAGGAGCTTTTTAGTTAAGTCTTCAGCTTCCTCTATGCCCTCTAGCTCCATTGGGTCATCATTTATATCCAAAGTCTCCAATTCCAGTTCAAGTTCTTCTGTTGTAGACACATCTCTCTCTTTACAGTCTTTGGAATCTGACAAAATACAACAGAGAATCCATGTAGATAGTAAATCTTAACAGAATCAATCAGTTTAAAAGATAACCGGTCAGCATGTTTATTACCTTGCACAGCCAAAATCCAACCAGGACTCAATATAGTCCCTTTCAGACTCCTAGAAGCAACGCTAGCTCCTAGGCTCAGTCACATCCTAGTTTGTAATACTAAAGAAGAGTCACTTCCCTTGGAACCAGTAATATTTCTGGAAAATCAGGGGGATGGAAGTCATCAACACAAAAAAGGATCTTCCTTTGTGACAAGTAATAATCGTATGGATTGATAGCTTATTTGTAAACAGATGCATGAATCCAGTCCCCATTAGTGAGAGTCAAACTAGCAACTTCAAGGTAGACTGCAGCTGCTTCCAGACAGTCCAGGTCAGTACAAGCATGTACTATACGATACTAAATTGTACAAATAAAAATTCAAAGCATACAGGGCCTACTCACATTAACATATGCTCTGGACTGGGGGTCAACAAACAGTAGATCACGATCTACCAGTAGACTGCGGGTAGGTGACCGGTAGATCGTGATCTGGGCTTATCTGCCATCCCGGAGCATCAAACAAATAGAGTGCAATGCAGTGGGGCTACTTGTAAAGTTGGAGCTGTAGTAGGGAGCAAGAGCTGCATTAGCCAATGCCTCCTCTGTAGCGCTGGCTCCTGTCCCATGCAGAGTGATACTAACTGCATTCCACCTCTTATCCCTGCTAGCGGTCTCCAGATTGGTGCTAGCAGCAGGAAAGAAGAGATCTTCAGGTCACCGGGAAGCAATACACTGGGCATAACAGTATAGGGCTGCTTTCACAGCGTTGTGCTGTGGTTTACCCACACCATGGGTGCAGTGCAGTGTACCTGCAGCTTTTCTGTGGGTTTGCTGCGCTTAGCCATAGACTTCTATTTTATCATGTGGGTTTGGTGCACTTTCTGAACGCGCACCAAAACTTCTGAAGTTTTGGTGTGCTTTCAGAAAATGCACCACATTTATACTCCCAACCAACGACAAGTTGCTTTCCTTAACAAAACCATCAAGAAAGCAAAACAAAATCAACAAGGACATTTGCTCCTATGTGGGGTACCTGATAACCAATTGGATACCACTTTAGGATCTAGACACTATGAATCTCCCCTGAACAATTTTTTTTAATCCCATGATTTTTACGATGTATGGAGATGTTGTCATGCAACTGAATGAGACTATACCTACCCAACTCCACGTCATAATACCTATTCACACATTACTGATAAATGGCTACTCCAAAAAGTACGCTCCTTCAGTATCCACGCTATTACCTGGTCAGATCTAAACTGTCTACTTCGCAAAAAGGGGTCATTTGGGGGATATCTGTACTGTTCTGACATTCTTAGATCTCAAGAAATTAGTTAGAAATTAGATTAGTCTGGCTGCCAGTACTTCAGGATTGGTCAACTTTCAGATATATCCCATAGTTTGTGAACTCTATAACTTTCCTACAGACTAAATAATAAATACTAATTTGGGTTATTTTTACCAAAGACATGTAGTAGAATACATTTTGGCCTAAATTTATGAAGAACAATTATTTATTTGCAAACTTTCATAACAGAAACAAAGAAAAACGTGTTTTTGTTTTCAAAATTTTCAGGTTTTTTGTTAATTTAGCAACAAATAAAAACCTCAGTGGTGATTAAATGCCACCAAAAGAAAGCTCTAGTTGTGTAAAGAAAATTATAAAATTTTAGTTTGGGTACAGTGTTGTATGACCGAGCAATTGTCATTCAAAGTGTGACAGCGCTGAAACCTGAAAATTGGCCTGGGCAGGAAGGGGTTAAAAGTGCCCTGTATGGAAGGGGTAAACACAATAAAAATTATTGAAGAGAAGAAACTATTTGTTCAACAGCTCGACAAAAAAGTGAACATTACCTTTTAAGTCATCCTTTCCAGAATCCTTGCCTTGCGTGCTTTTTTCATTATCCTTGAACAGAATTGCAGGGACAAATGCTTTAAGGTCAATCAAGTTTTCATAGAAGTTGCGAGCATCTTCATCTTCCCATATGCCTCCTTCCAAGTCATAATCCCCAGGTTTTCCAGGTGTGAAAATATCAATGCCAGGTCCATGTTCTGCAAAAGAACATAAACCCAAATTAAAAAAAAAAAAACCGAAAAAAAAACACACAAACCTATAAAATAATGACAAACAGCAAACGCAATTGTTATTTTCTCTGCTATTGTAAATGTTTGGGTATATTTCCTGATGTTCTCAGCAAGAGGCAAGGAAATGTGGAGATTGACATAGCATTCCCTAACATTTTCTCGTTTAGGCTGAGAAATGAAATACAACACATGGTTGGCTATCACAGGCAGTATCAATTATTTCTTTACATTGGTTGGCATAAATAGGCCCCACTTTGTATATGTTCTATAAAGTATACCTGTCAGTGAGGTCAAAAACCAAGGATAGATATTTACCATGCTTGAAAACTTACAAATGTACTCAAAAGTTAAAGAATATGTAAACCCAACATTTCATATTCCTAATATGTGCCTGCTGTATCATGTACTTGTATTAAAAAAAGTATCCTGTTCTTTTTGTATTGCTTCCTTTGTGTGGAATACCTGGTGTTCCTGCCAGTCCCCCTACTCTCCTCTAACGATCAGGCTTGTGCTGATGCACCCTTCCCTCCCGCACAGCCAATCACTGGGAAGACCGGTCTGCTGCTGCTTCTCCTCCCCTAGTTCTTATGCTTTAATGTTTTTTTATATCTATGCACAAATGTTTTGCTTTTAATTTCTACTTTAAACTGAATAGGTTGTTTTACAAGGTGAGGGTTTACATAGGCTTAAAAAAAAAAAAAAAAAAACACAAGGTATAAACTTAGAGATCATTCTTAGCAAATTATAATATTTATTATGAATTACCTTCTGCTACAGGCTTGTCCTGAGGGAGGTCAGGCATATTTTCATCCAGAAGATCAGCAAGAGACTGAGAATTTGCCAATAATTTCTGATAAGATGTTGCAAATTCCTCATATTGTTTGTGTCGGTCTTCACTCAGCTCCCCCTTGGTGTGAAGGATGCGTCTATGCCAAAAGAAAAAAAAAAAAAAAAAAAAACCACACAACTCATGTATTTATATTCACATACCCAACAATTCTTAGACCTAGAAGACAGGCAATACGCAAACAAAAAAAAGGCAAAGATGGTATAATTGTTAAAATGTCTGCTTAAGCCCTTGCACACTGCAGCTTAAAAAAACTCAGTACAGCAGGTTTTTTTACTGAGGTAAAATGAAGCCCATTATTTACAATGTGTCAGTGCGCACAGATGTGTAAACAAGCACTGTGTATTCCTCAGTAAAAAAAAAAATTAAAAAAATGAATATATCGTGTGCTCAACTGCGCATATACACGTGCATACGCGCAAAATGCTTGAAATTACATCCGAAAAAGAAGATGCTCAAACAGTAATGGGTGCAAGTGTCCGTACACCCAACTAATGACTCCTCACTCACTCTATTTCCGAACTCGATTTTGCTATTTGTGAGAAATGTACTCATTTAAGGTGGACACACAATTTACAGTAACCTCAATAAAGTGTTATTAAACCCAGGACCCTGCATTCACTATATCTGGTCTCCCACAGTACACAGAACATGGAAGTGCAATTATTTTAGTAAATATAAACTAATAAATATCTTTTCTGATCAGAAGTTAGAAGTCACAAGTCTGCTGTGCTCTATCAGAGTCAGCAGAGCACTGGTTAAAGCTTGTACAAGTTTTCATTCTCCCCAATGAGGCTGTAAGACCCTGACCCTCTGTCTGGACAGAGCTGATTGGCTGATTGTGATGATCCCATGCACTCTCCCAATAAAAAAACAAAACAAAACAAAACAAAAAAACACCTCTCTAGCAATACACACCAAACTGAGCATGTGCAGCTTGCCCCCAAGGCCCTGTTCCATCAGCAGATGGATAGGAGGCAGTAGAAGAAGAGGAGGATCAGATAAGACCAAAAAGACAGAAGCAAACATCCTTTTTACACAAGGTACCCTTAGGTACCACAGTGAGTATAACATGCATGCTTTACTGCAAATACAGACGGATTTTACTGTTGTGGGTTTAGTAACACTTTAAAGCAGAACACATTACAAATTTGATTGTACTATCTGCAAAGTTTCCTTTAAATTTATCAAAATGGTCATGTGAGGACTAACAAACTAATCTAAACCCAGTCAGGCAGTCTCTTTCACTACATAGTTGCTAAGGGACCAAAACTGGATTTTATCATAGGTGTTGGTATATCTATGACCTCATTTAGACTTAAAAAAAAAAAAAAAAAAAAAAAAAGTTTAAAAAATGTATATATTGTAACACAAGCACCGATAGGTGTTTTTACCATGAATTTATTCACTTCTACGCCTCTTCCTCTGATTTGTGTAATTAGAATGTAATGTGAATGGCTAGCTTCAAGAATGCAAAGATATGTCCGCATCCAAGGTTAAAAGACGAATACTCTATACGAACGCTACTTGCTTATTTTTATATTAAATCCAAAAGACAAAAATGTAATATATTGCAGCTTGCCAATCATTAGATGAGGTAACTGGGTTTTTTGGGGTTTTTTTTAGGCTTTTGTCACTCTGGTTTCATTTGGTGATATGGCCAGTAACACACCTCCTATATTAAGAGTGCCTGCACGAAAGTACAGAGGGCACAGCAGACAGCAGCATTGTCAGTCTGGGGGAGGGGAGTGGTAAATGTACAAGCATATTTAAATACACCAAGAAATTGAAGCCAAACTCCAGCTAAAACTTCATAAGCAGCTACAGCAGTTTTAATTTACCGTTTGGGATGGACATAAAAAAGTTACATAAATTAAAGCGGACCATTGTAAGCACCCCTGTCACCGGTAAACGTTCTGTCTCATCCCTGAAAACGGATACATTTGCATGAGAGCTTGTTCATTTGCAAAGTAACAGACATACTAGCTGCATCACCAAGTGAAATTAGAAGAAAAAGCCTAAAAAAAAAAAAATAATGCATCCATCACTTATAAGAATGTAAGCTGCAATTTAACGTTTGCATTTGGGTTTAATTTTGCCTTAATACCACTGATCTCCTCATTCAGTCTAACGCAGAGGTCTCCAAACCTTTCAAACAAAAGGGGCCAGCTTACTGTCTTTCAGAATTAAAGGGGGCTGGATTGTGGCCAGTAGAGGTGGAAAATGTCCCAGACCCAGTAACATTAAGAATAAACATGACCTCAGGGTTGGAGGTCAGTAGAAGGAGGAGTAGTGCCCCATTCATTAGTATTAGTGAGAGGAATAATGCCCACCATTGGTATCAGTGGAAGAATAGTGCCCTGTCATTGATACTTGTGGGAGGAATAGTGCATCATATCATTGGGAGGAAAAGTGCCCTAAGGGACAGTCACATCTGGTCCTTGGGCCACAGTTCGACAATGGCACAGAACAGTTTCACCGCACCACCCATACCTTCCGTGTTTTTCATTCAACATTCCAATAACTGGCATGTCTCAGGAGTCAGCATATTGTACAGTCCTAACATCAAGCTGTAAAATTAATTAGTAGATATAGATTCCATCTGTATTGTCAACTTAGTGTGTGTACATACACACACACACACACACACACACACAAAATCTCAACTCTCTGCTAACCAAACTATTCTACACCTTTCTCTCTCTCTCTTAGATTGCCTCCCTTTATCTTAAAAATATAAATCAGTCCTTCATATCATATTTCATTTTACACCCATATTTAGAGTGTAGCATAAAACAATTACACTCCCTCTTCAAAATGCGACAAAAAACAATATAAGAGATATTAGTCAGTAAATGTATGTAGTGAACCTATCATAGCTTGTTTCCAAACATGCAAGCACCTGGTTCTCGTATTACATAATGAGTCACTAAAACTGAACTCCCTGTTCTGGGTGTTTGGTGGGATGACAGTCCTGGAGCTTGCACCATATCTGTCCTCAATGAACATGCTCGACAAATAGGGTGTTTTTTACATTTATTTTACTTGTCTCTTTAAAAGTCTTTTAAGCCAGGTACTTGATGCCATGGGGTCCTCTTTTCTGGGATGGGTGGATGTCAATGACAGAGAGAGGAGTGCCGATGTAATAATTACATAGTGAATGCAGGTAGCCATGGCAGGCTCCCAACACACTGCACTCACAGTTAAAGCAGAACTAAAGTCCCCAATACTTTCCTATCTCCCTCATTGAAGTCCCTCACTGACACCAGCAACTTCTACTGAGGCTTCTTCTGGGTTCTGGGCTGCGGTCATGTTGATCACACGGGATGATGTCATTCCTGCGCATGCGCAGGAGTTCAGTCTTCCCGGCTCACAGGATATGTGCTGGAATGTAAACTGCGTTGCACTTGTGCAGCTCAGCGTACATTCTAAAGAAGACAAAAAGGCAGGAAGGTTAATTTTATTGCAAGAGAGAAAAATCACATTCTACCATAAAGAAACAACCTGCTTGCAGACATTCATTCCGCTTTAAGCATTCTCAGTTGAGTGACACTGAACCAAGATGAAGAAAATGTGTATGTGAAATATACAGAAAAGCCTCTATGGCTGTCCTCCACTTACCTGTTCTGGCGTTCTATGTTTTGTAGCTCTCGATGGTCCCTTTTTAGGTGCTTTGTAAGGGAAGTGAAGTATTCCTTCAGCAAATTCTGGAAAGGTTGTTGTTTCTCTGGGCTTATGATCTCACTTGGGGGAAAGTTGAGACCAAATTTCTCAGACGCATGCTTAACTTTTCTGGGAACTAAACCTGCGATATCATCACCACAGTGACGGCAGAAACTTATAACTACAGACACATGAGTATGAGACTCTCGATCTGCATTAATGATATTCTTCAGCTGCTCATAAATTAAAGAGAGCCCTTCCTTGTCAGTGAAGATCCCAATAATAGTTAACTCGGCAATGAAACGCAAATCTGTTCTAAGTTTGGTTATATTGGGTGTTTTATCCTCTTTCCGAGCCTCAAAATGCTTCTTCCATACCTGAAGGAGAGACTGAGCAAAATCTGCATACCGCTGGTGAAACAGTGAACACAGATGGACTGCACAGTTGACATCAGAAATTTTAAGTTTTGCTTCAACTATGGAAGCGGCAGCTTCTGCGATGTATTTGCTCAAGTTAAGGCCATTGAAATCATGAGATAAAGAATCTCTTTGTTGCTCAGTAATGGTTTTAAGCTTCTTCACAAAGGCAGTATTTTTCTTGAGGCTGGAGTCCAGTTTGCTAAAGAAATGCTCTTCAGGTCGGTGTTCAGGAGCATTTTGGTTCTTGCTGCGCAGTTCTTTCCTGGCCAGATGTCGCTCCCAGGCTTCCTGGTGCAGCTGATGTGCTTCTTCCTTCTCTCTGCACAAAAGGTAAACAATCAACAATTTTCTTTAGAAGTTGGAACTATGCAGTATGGGAAACAATTTTACTGAAAATGCCACTTTGCCATTTCCAGTGTAGTATACTCATACTTGACATTCACCAAACATGGAGGGGAATAAAAATATTTGGTGAATGTTGCATTGTTTATTTAAATTTAAACAAAAAAAAAAAGGGACAGAAAAAAGTGATGGAAACATTTAGAAGGACTAAAGTTCGCAAAAGACACAGACATGGAAAATCTACATAATTTTCTTAGGCCTCATTTAGACTTGACTTGCTGTCTGAAATGCAACCTGAATTTGGATCACTCTTCAAAGAACAATAGTTGGACAGTGAGGAGGCATTGTATCGCCTCCCCACCACCTGTTTTAACCCACCTACTGGACAACCGTGCACGTTCAACTTGGTGCATGCTGAATGCGTCAGGGAGTATATATCCTACAATGGCTGTGAAGCAAAGCATCCCAGCATGTGAACACCCCCAGCCACTGCCTCAGCAGCAACAGGGGAAGCAGTTGAGGGGTAGTTAAAAAACAAAATAAAAACAAAAAAACATGGTTTTACTACCCCTCAATCTCAAGTGTGAATTCGGTCTTTGTTGTCACTTGCTTAAAAAAGCAGACTCTTTTTTTTATTGTGTTTTACGAACACATATAGTAAAGCTTGAGCTAGTTCAAAGGGAATGTACAACATTTGTGTTTTCTTCAGTTACTGTATATATAAAATTTTCAGGTGTATGTTAAAAAAAGAAAATAGAATTCTATTTCTTTTTTAAAGTATAACAGAGTGCCAAACTTTTTTAGATTTAGAGAGAATGGCGAGGGATTAGGACACCTGTCAGATTTTTAGTGCTGTATGTACCACAGATTACAAAGTAATGATGGTTACATCTGGCTCTATATACACCATTAACAGACTCTTCAGTTATTTCTTGCATTTAAACTGTAAACTGTAAGCAAACATGCCTTACTTTAATTGGTTTGCAGCATCTTCTTGATCATCAGCTTTCTTCCTCTGTTCATCTTGCACTTTGTTTTCTTCTTCCTCAGTTTTTGCTACAGCATCCTCTTTCTTTCTAACATCCTTATCCTCTTTCTTGCGTCGCTCATCATCAGGTTTCCTTTTCTTCTCCTCAGTGGCCTTTGATTGCTCCCTTTTGCTGCTTGACTTTTCATCTTTGACTCTCTCTCTGCTGCTTGTTGCCCTTTTCTCACTACAATCTTTAACAGAATCTCTCTCCTCCATAGCAGATAGCTTCTTACGTTCAGCTGGCATTTTTGCAAACTAAACCTGGAATAAAAAAGTACATTATGTGGACGTTACAAACCATAAATCAAAACATTAAATGGCCACTATAGGCAACATCATTTTTCTTTTTTTTTTTTAATTAAAAAGGAAAAAGTTCACCTTTGGTAACATGTTCCACCTGTTTTTAGGGTGGCACATGTAACATGTTCCTGATCCTGTAGCCGCCGCCCCTCCCCATGACAGAAATATGAGAAGTTCCCCTACTAGCTGTCAGTTTTCAAAAACAGCGTGGCTGTGCGGGGCCCACACAGCTGCTTCACCGATTCATGGTTTTCTGTGAATGAATGGACTACATGTCCCAACAGCCTTTGCGGCTGTCGTCTTGTAGTCCCCAATTAACTACCATGGCGTTGTGAGCGCTGTGGTAGTTTATGGAGTTTTCTTGTCAGCAAGTATCGGTTTGCCAGTATGGGATGTACGAGCAAGCAGATACACTGACAATGTGTAGGAGACCTGAATGGCACCAGCGATCTGCTGATCTCTGGTGCAATGCTTTACAGCACAAAAAAAAATAATAAAATGCACATTTTTTTTTACCTGCAAAAAAATAAGTATTTACGATTTTTTGTGGACTGGTAAACTTAGCCTTTAAAGCTCAATTCCAAGCAAAAAAAAAAAAAAAAAAATATTGAAAATTACTCCTTGATAACCACAAAGAATATGAAATGTATGAACCAAACATCTTTGCAAACATAGTTGTTACCATGTAAAAGTAGAACAGACAAAATAATTGACTACACATACCCTGCATAAACCTTGGAGCAGTGAAAGATACCATCTAATCCTTCTACTAGAGGCTGCCTGCAGAAAACTACAGAGAGGGGGTGGATAAAAAGACCATCCGCTGCATAAAGAGACAGGTCAGCAGTGACTGGTATTTTAATACAGGAATCTCCTCCACAGTAGAAATATTACACTGGATTACTGTACAAATCTGGAAGAAATACACAAAGCACACCAAGAATACACATGGTGTTTGTATTTAGACAATATCTGCTTATCCCAGAGTTCAGCTTTAAATATTTCTTAGGTTTACAGGATGCCAGTACACCTGACTGGTTTGCTTCCTTGCCATGCCTGCTAAATTAAGGCTAGACACCAGAAATATCTACAATATTTTACTCTTATATAAAAAAAAAAGCTCATTCAACAGAGGGGGGAAAAAATTAAGGAGAAAATCCAATCTTTATTGGTAATGATTTCTATGAATATTCCATGACAACCTGAGAGATGACTGGCTCCTCCCTCGACATAATAGGAACAGTAAAAAAAGAAATAAAGCAGGTCTACTTTAGGGTGGGAACAGGAACACTACATAAAAAAAAAAAAAAAAAAAAATGTATCTGCTGAATGCCAGGCGCTGGTTCAAGAGAACCTCCTTACCAAGCTAGGTGAAACTTTCCTAATCAGACTAAGTAGCGGTTTCATAGACTTGCTCCACAGAAGTTCCCAACTTTCCTGCCCAAGAAGAAGCATCATCTGGTAGGATGTAGTATGTTTAGATCCCCTGGGATCAGGCCCAGAGGTCCAAAAACATGACTTGCAGATATGGAGGAGGAGGAGGAGGAGGAAGAGGAAGAAGGGTAACCATTTGGAAAGTGTAGACCAAGAAAAAAAAAAAAAAAAAAAACACCAAAACATCAAAAGCTGATAAATGCAGATCTAAAAGATTCAGGTTAAAATCTCAGATTCCCAGCTGGATGAACCAGTAATATATGAGCAACACTCAGTAGTACCAAAGGAAGAATAAGTAAATTCCTAATGAAATAACACTGCCAGAGTCAGGAAGAACCTTAAAAATAGTACTTAAAGCGAAGCTCCAGTCCCCATAATCAATTATTTTTTTTAAATTCCCTTGTGATTGTTATTACTTGTACATTTAAATTAGAATACTGTTAGAACAGTATTCGTGCTGGTTAGCTTAAAATCTTTAAAAATGTACCTGATCTCAGACGCAGGCAGGTGGCCATTTAGGATGTGGGCATCTGAAGCCCACTTGTGTCTTTTTCCGGAATTTGGTGCAGCTGGCTACCCAGCATGCACCTCCCGATCTCGAGCCTGTGCAGTAATGACACTGCGCGGCGTATTGAGTTTAGTTCAGGTTGCCATAGCAATGGCGGCTCCACGGAAGTACCCACCCTGTTGCTATGACAACCTGTCAATCACATTACATTATTAGGCTTCCCAAACACTCCTGGGATAGATGACGCCGATATCCCAGGAGTCAATGGGAATCGCCTAATGATGTCATCGCTTAGGCGGCCGGGACAGAAAGTGCCGTCCGAAGAATTATAATAGAAGGTATTTAGAAACAAAGAAATTATTTCCATTTTACACTATACATTGGAGGGGCATTTGAAATTTAAAAAAAAGACTGGAACTCAGCTTTAAGGATAAAAAGGGTGATCTGGACTGGATTGGAGAAAGGCCAACAAGTCTTCCACTGAGAATATCTTGGGATATCAATTCCTTGATTTGACTTATGAAAACAACTCTTCTCAAGCATAAAGATAAAACAAGTATATGTACAATGGAAACCGCTCATCAGGAACCGGCCGAATTTTGATTCATGTATGGGACCAGTGCTTGTACAGAAGTAGGACCTACCAATCAACTTACAGTGGGGATCGAAAGTTTGGGCACCCCAGCTAAAAATTTGTATTAATGTGCATAAAGAAGCCAAGGAAAGATGGAAAAATCTCCAAAAGGCATCAAATTACAGATTAGACATTCTTATAATATGTCAACAAAAGTTAGATTTTATTTCCATCATTTACACTTTCAAAATAACAGAAAACAAAAAAATGGCATCTGCAAAAGTTTGGGCACCCTGCAGAGTTAATATCTTGTACTGCCCCCTTTGGCAAGTATCACAGCTTGTAAATGCTTTTTGTAGCCAGCCAAGAGTCTTTCAATTCTTGTTTGAGGTATCTTTGCCCATTCTTCCTTACAAAAGTCTTCCAGTTCTTTGAGATTTCTGGGCTGTCTGTCACGCACGGCTCTTTTAAGGTCTATCCATAGATTTTCAATTATGTTGAGGTCAGGAGATTGTGAAGGCCATGGCAAAACCTTCAGTTTACGCCTCTTGATGTAATCCCCCGTGGATTTCGAGGTGTGTTTAGGATCATTATCCATTTGTAGAAGCCATCCTCTCTTTAACTTCAGCTTTCTCACAGATGGCATCAAGTTACCATCCAAAATTTGCTGAAATTTTATTGAATCCATTTTTCCTTCTACTCGTGAGATGTTCCCTGTGCCACTGGCTGCAACACAACCCCAAAGCATGATTGATCCAACCCCATGCTTAACAGTTGGACAGAGATTCTTTTCATTAAATTCTGTGCCCCTTCTTCTCCAAACGTACCTTTGCTCATTCCGGCCAAAAAGTTCAATTTTAACCTCATCGGTCCACAGAACTTGTATTAAAAGCCCTCCTGTGCTTCTATGGACCACCCTCCCCTTTCCCTAGTTTACAGCCGCTTACACTCCTACTGATACCCAAAAAACAGTGCTCAAATGAATATTAAAATAGTGTAGCGCTAAATGACATAATCAAGACAATCTAAATATAAAAGTGATAAATTAAATTCATAAACCTTGTGGGAAATCTCATAGTGTCTAAGATAATCTAAGTGCTCATTAAACGTGTTACTTTACTCATGAATAATAAACCACATAAAAAATAATAGTGTTAAATAAAACCATTAAACATAATTTTGTGTTAGTGCCACTTCAAATAAATATATAACGTGATCGTGCCAAATCACTATAAATAAATAAATTGTCCAATATCCAAAAAACCAATATACAACAGTATAATCCAAGTGATGCTTAGATGCACATGCAGTGTGTTATAGTGTCACTCGTGAAAAATCCACTCTTCCACTTTGGCTGCAATGCCTCCTCACCTCCTTTCAACGACCCCTAGGGGCCAACAAGCCTTTAAGATCACCTTGGATCCTCAACACTCCTGGATGGTACCTCTCAGGCTATCCTCCTGTTTGGCCTCCTCCACACCTTTACACCTTATGGAGTCCTCTACAGCGATCCTCTGTGAATTCTCACTCTCATAATAGTGAGTTCAAAAAAAGAGAGATCCTCCATAGTGTAGTAGTTTTCAAATCCAGCATTTATTCCGTACCGGAAGTGCGTCTGCACGCAGAGACGCAGTTTCCGGAGTCCGGAGTGACGCACTTCCGGTACGGGACGCCATTTTCCAAGAGGTTACATGAGTGCAGTTTACCCATGCAGGGGAGAAGAAAACGCTGTACACAAATGTGAGTTGCTTTTTATTTGTCTTACAAATAAATGCTGGATTTGAAAACTACTACACTATGTCGGATCTCTTTTTTTGAACTCACTATTATGAGAGTGAGAATTCACAGAGGATCGCTGTAGAGGACTCCATAAGGCGTAAAGGTGTGGAGGAGGCCAAACAGGAGGATAGCCTGAGAGGTACCATCCAGGAGTGTTGAGGATCCAAGGTGATCCTAAAGGCTTGTTGGCCCCTAGGGGTCGTTGAAAGGAGGTGAGGAGGCATTGCAGCCAAAGTGGAAGAGTGGATTTTTCACGAGTGACACTATAACACACTGCATGTGCATCTAAGCATCACTTGGATTATACGGTTGTATATTGGACAATTTATTTATTTATAGTGATTTGGCACGATCACATGTTATATATTTATTTGAAGTGGCACTAACACAAAATTATGTTTAATGGTTTTATTTACCACTATTATGTTTTATGTGGTTTATTATTCATGAGTAAAGTAACACGTTTAATGAGCACTTAGATTATCTTAGACACTATGAGATTTCCCACAAGGTTTATGAATTTAATTTATCACTTTTATATTTAGATTGTCTTGATTATGTCATTTAGCGCTACACTATTTTAATATTCAATTGGTCCACAGAACTTGTTTCCAAAATGCAGCAGGCTTGTCTATATGTTCATTTTCAAAG